ACAGTCTCTGCCTCTTCTTCTTCTCTGACATGTAACCCTCCTCATTATTCTTCACTCTCCTTTATTTTTTCCCTTCCCTGCCTGACCTCTGCCTCCATGCTGTGCTCTCCTGCTGAGCCCCTGCTTCCATGATCTGTGTGTAGCAGACGGAAGAACAGTGTGTAGGAAAACCCTACAAGCAGAGAGGAGTGACTGTGGACTGACTGCTAAAGAAAACGAAAGAGATCAGGTCTTGCAAGATGCCTCTTTCTCTTTCAGGAGAACTTTGGATCAAATAAAGACAGGACCTCCTAGGATTCTGTTTCCAGTTGAGACCCCTCATGCATGTTGAAGACCCTGTTTTGTCAAGCTGTACAATATCCTGAATGATACCAACAGACATCAGTGGTGGGCAATGGGAACCAGGGAGTCTGACATTGCTCTCCACTTGTCGCTGGGGTGGTGAGAATCACCAGGAATGGCCACCACTGAAAAAACATCACCAGAACAAAGACCCCAGGATTGTGGCTCACCTTGCTCAGAAGCATAGAGAACATACAGGTGGATAAAAAGAGAAAATAAATAAGACTTTAAATTGGAGTAATCATTCTTCTGCCAAAACCTTTGTGCCAAAACCTTTGTCTGATATATACTGCTTAATTGCTTCGGAGGAACGTAGCCATATCCTTCTTAAAATTTTCCTGCATAAAATGAAGGCACAATATGCAATACAGCAGGCTGAAGACATACTGAAGATATTTACTCCATTGCTTATGTAGATGGTGTTTGTTTAACCATCTTTATTCACAATAATTAACTGTTGCATTGCAATTGTCTTTAGCACCAAATAAAAGTTCTTCTGTACTTCTTTACCAATGTATTTTTAAGTCACTCAGTGCTTAATACAAGTTTGTAACCTGCAGGCTCAAGTCTTGTGGAGACTCATACACATGAATTATTCATAAACTAAGGAACCATGACTATTAACATAAGTAAAACTACTTGAAAAAGAAAAGTAGCTCACGCTTCAATTTTGTTCAGGAATTGACCTTAATTTGCTCTTCAGATCTAGACTGCCTTATTAGGAAGCTTTCTTGTCTGTTTTTTTATTCATTTTATATAGGTAGGAAACAGATAAAAAAGGTCTCCAAACTCGATAAATCTTGTAAGTTAGACTGAACTTTCATGACAGCTGTGGACAGCATCTTAAACCTAAGGGTTCCCCTGCCTCCCCCACTGCCCCAACATTTAATACTTTCTGTGTGGCTGTGAGGAGGCAGACAAGATGACTCAAATGCCATTAATGTTTACAAGACGGGTCTGTGAAGTCTTAAATCAGTGAGGCTCAGCTGTCATCCTGTGCATTTGCATTTGTAGTGAAAAAGCAAATCCCTGATAATGCCTTGATTTTTCTTCAACAGAGAGAAAGCAGAGAATATTTTAAAGAGCAGTGAAACAGAACTCAGCTGCCATATTCACAAAGTGCCATACATTCATCTTGCTGTTAAAACTGTAAGAAAAAATCTTGTAAGAGCAAAGCTTTCCCTGCTTACAAAGTAAACAGTGAAATATAAACTGGATTACCTGTCATATCAGGAATATATCACTGATTTTTCAGGGTGTTCAAAGACATTTTATTCCAGAAAACCTTCACCAGTTTCTCTGGATTCAAATTGCAGCAGAAGTAATAGTAAAGAGTTGTAGCCTAAGGTCCCTTCTACAAAGTTAAAAATTTGCCAGTGGCAACTTTCATATTTTAAAGTAAAAAATAAACCAAAATAATTTTGAAGCTTTTTTGCTTTGTTTTGAGTCACCTACCATCCTCTTACCATGTGAGGTGGCTGTAGCACCGCAGAGCAAGACTCGCTGCAGTCACAGGTTGCAGCATGAAGACTCACTCCCTGCTCTCAGAACTGGCAGTTAATTAGAAGCCAGTTTATCAACCTTACCACAGGCTGTGAGCCCTCTGAATTTTTCATTATCTCCTCCCCTTAAGAGCACAAAACCCATAATTTTTTCCACACAAGCAACAGACCATGGGATTCAAAGAAAGAAAGGTAAATGTTGGACTTTGATCAATGTCTTTGATGCAGTTTAAGAAATTTCACACATTGAGATGCATTCCTGCACTTCCAAACCAAAACTCCCTTAGTTTCAGACAGGGAAGAGTTTTCCTCACTATCCCCTCTATCCATTGCCCCTCAGCTGAGGACACATTTTCAATGCAGAAGATGCAGAATTGCCCAGCTCTCCATAGCTCTGGGCATGTGAATTTTGCATCTTCACTTGAGTTGTGTGGGTGAAGCAATGTCTGTATTATCTCCTTCAGATTAAGAAAACCAAATCATTTTTTTCTCTCTGTTGTCTCAGGAAGCACTTGTAAACATTGCAGGATGCAGGAATGCAGCCTGGTTTTCTTCTGTACCTTATTGAAATGTCCTGGCCACTAAGCTTTGACAACAGCTCCACTGCCACTGCCTGTCCTGCCCCCCTGGCTGTGTGTCTGTCTGGCTCAGCAGGATGGATGGAGGGGGCAGGTCTCTCCCTGCACACACTTTTTCATGTCAACATCTTCCTTTTCTGGAAGCAGCATTTCCTCCAGGTTTAGCAGGCACTTACCGACCACTAACACCCACTAGACTCTGCTAAATGTATCTTTCCTTACTTATAAAATTTTGATTAAGGCCTTAGGAAAACAAATTTGGAAAGGCACTTAAAAGAAAACCTAAGCAATGTACACAGAGACGGGTCTCTTTTAACATATTCCAAGGTAGCTAAGCCAAAGCACTGCTCCTTAGATGCTGATGGATCTGGACAAACAAGGAAGCAGATTTCCAGTGTCACCAGAATCTCATATTGCCTTTTCAGTTCTTCAGGACTTTATTTTCCTCCATAGTACACACCTGGATTGATTCAAAGTGAAGGCACCTCTGAGATGTCCACCTCAATGTTTCAGAGGGTTTTTTTCCTTTAATTCACATGGCTTGAAAATAATTACGCATGCAAGGCTAATCGCAATTTTGTGCTTGTGTTCTGCACAGCCTGTAGTACTCTCTCAGATTTTAGTACAGATTGACAGTCTTTTTTCAGCACTGTTAGGAGGATATAAAATTAACCTAAGTCATTTCTCACTCAAGTTAACCAGTATCCTTTTAAGCTTTTCTGGGATCATACCAAAACCCAGCCTTTGGAGCCTGGATCCCAAAGGAAAGAAGGTATCCATGGGGAAACCCTGATTCAGGCACTTATGGTGATGGATGTACTTTCTACTTCAGCTCAAAGGCATGTTGCCCTTACTATAAATGCATCCTCAACATCCAGCTCAGCTCATTGGGAACATATTGCTGGAGCCAGATAGGTCTGATGGTTAAGGAAGTGCCGAGCTTGCAGCCAGAACTTACAGGTCCCTGGTACCTTGCTATGAGCTTGCTCTCTGCTTCTCTAGTGCAAAGCTGACCTCTTGAAGTTCCTTCTCCCTTTGTGCTACGCTCCCTTGTACTTCAGTCAGCACAGCTGCATGACAAGGAACAAGTGGGGCAGCCTTGCAAAGCACAAACCTTGAATAAATAAACTGCAAGGAGAGAAATGAATCCTGACTGACTTCTTGCATCTCTTGACGAAAGCCGTACATGCTGGCAGCCCGTGTGTCCCACAGCTCCAGAGGGATTAGTGTGGTGTTTACCTGCTCTTTCCCAGGCTGAGCAAACGTTTGATCTTGCTAATGTGTACACGAGTTTGTGACAGTTGCCATAGCACAACAGGAACCCTCCCTTCTCTCCTGTTGTTCGTAACCTTTGAGGACTAACCAGCCAAGCTTTCTGACAGCATCAAAAATGCAGCTCATTTTAAATTAACTTCCAGGGCAAAAAGGGCTGTTTTCAAAGCTTCAGTCACTGACTGAGTTGGATATTCCGCCATCAGCAAGTATCAGGAGGATACTTTTAGAGAGGAACGGGCTGTTCTTCTCCCAGAAAATAGGGAACTGGTTGGCTTTTGGAAATTTTTATGGAGGAAGAATCAGAAAGGTGGTACTGCTGTGCCTACACCTGCACTGGAGAAACAGGGAAACACTTCCCTCTCCCATGGGAATCCATTTGGGTACTGTTGACTATTATTTCATTAATGGTATTTAATACTTGCCTCCTGGTAGAGACTAATGTTCCATTGTGTCCCTGGGCACTTTGTGTAAAGAGATATTTCACCACAATAAAAGCAAGGTGCTGCCAAGAATTGCAGTGGGGGGGTTGCAGAACAAAGCTGGGAAAGTTTCCTGGCATATCACAGGTAAAATAAGGGTGGCCCTACAGCACCAACTATGCACTGTGTATGTCACAGCAAGGGCCCATAGCATTGCTGTGAGCATAATACTTCCTTTTCTTCACATTATCTTCACTATGCCCATCTTCTTTCATATACTTGAATAGGCATACATTCAATAGGATTTATATGGGTTAGGGGTCAGAACTAATGCCAGCTGATGTGATGGTTCAGCAGTGAGTCGTGTACCACCACTGAATGCCCTGCCCTACTCCACACCATCAACAGTCTCCAGTGTCTGGGTAGCACATGCACTACGTGAGAGCAGGTAGAAGCTTCGACAGCCCTCTGGGATTGTGTGGTGGGAGGTGAGCACTGCTTCACACACAGGTGCTGGCATGTCCAGTGTCAGAAAATTAAAACTAAGGAATGAAAAAGGCCTTTGCTACCATTTTCACTCTTTGTGAAATGTTGATCATAAAAAACAAATAATGAAGAAAAAAAAAAAAGAAAAGAAAACATCTCCATCTACTAGTTTCAGTAAACTGCATGTGTTGTCATTTAAATAAAAGGAAACAGAATTTTTCCAGCAGTAATACCCTATGTTTTTAATAGCTCCACTTATCTCAATCTTATTTTGTCTTGGCACTGGTGGTGCAATCTTGGCACTGGTGGTGCAATCTCCAACACTAGCCTCAACATTTTAAATTTATCAGGTTCTGAGGACTATCTGTTGAAATAAACAGCCTATCCACAGTGGCAACATTAAGAGCATTGATGGAGCCTCAAATAGAATTGGTGGGTGCTTTGCAGTGCTAAATTAAATAACAACAGAAAAATTTATGCTGTAGATGTCATACCCCATGCAAGCAAACTGAATTCCCACAGCCTCATTTCAGGGCATAAAAGTCTGGTGAACAGAAAACAGCAAGGTAAGTCCCATTTTGCGTCTAAAAGTCATGTTCTGGTTTAACCCCTTTGATCCTTATTAAAATCCTGGTATACGTTTTCCTAATTTGGGAGTGGAAAAAAAAAAGGAGGAGGAACAGAGACCAGAAGTGTTCTCAGTCTTTAATTTACCTACTTACATCATTGCTGCTTCTTCGCTGGGCTCACACAATGAGGTTAAAAGCCTGAACAAGGAGGAAGCCAGATACTTACTCTGTTATTCTGTGATTTCTCCAGAGGTGACAGTGAGAGGTGAGGTGAGAGGTGAGATGAAGAGGTTTTGCTGAGCATTGATCAATGTCCTTGGTGAGCTGGAGAGCAAAACCTCTGGTGCACTTTTGTTTTTAAGGTTATACTTTTAATCAGCAGCATTATATCTATTTTTTCAGTCACACTGGAAGTGCATGCAGAGAAATTTCATGTTACAAATCAAGAAGTCATGCATTATATTCACACAGGTAAAAGGAGAAGTAAGATTCCCCCTTTTCTCCTGAACTCTTAAGAGCTCTACCTTTCTTCAAAGAATTGCCAGTCCTACCTAGCCACTGCATGCCTGGCAATGTGCAGTCCATCTCACCTGGAATAACCAAAGGTATCCTGTAAATACTTTACCCAAGCAGCAAGCACCTGAGCTGCCCAAGCTGCTTTTTCACAAGCTGTCTTATCACTTCCTGGAGCCTTGATACTTAAAGGACTTAATTAACTATTTAAAAATGGCACAATGATTTCGCAAAAGATAGCTAGCAAGTTGTCACTACATAAATCTGTACTCATATTCTTACAGCTGGTTCAGTAAGAGTGCTCTAGCTTAAAACTGAAACTGCTCATACTGTTTTCTAGAGTGCTTGGTTAAATTAGTTTCTTTTCTTATTTATGAGACATTCACAAAGGACTCCTGTTTCCTCTCAGCCTGACTTTTCTCCAGGTGCCAGATAACTTGCACAAACGAACCTGTTTGTGAACGGTTGATTTCGACTGGCAAAGGAAGCTGCTGGCCTGTCTCCAAAGTGCTGCTTGGAGCCCTCTCACACAGGTCTCCTGTGACAAAGAGCAAACAGCACCCCGAGGTTCATGTGCCTTCTCGCAGACAAGGGCCAGTATCTCATTTCATGACTGCAGAGAGAACTTGCCACTTGGCCCTTCCAGTGCTACACAGGCTGTGCCAGTGTGGCCATTATGAAAGTACAGCTTGTACTTGTCAAAAAGGTTCTTCAGCTCATTCTAAAATTAACTACAAATGCAAAATTTGCCTGCCTTTTCCAGCTTTGCCTTTGGCCAGCCTAAGTTTTTCTTTAAACTGAAGGATCATATCGTCTCAGAGAAAACAGCCAAGAGACAGATCTGGTATAGACAGGCTTAGAAACCTCATTTCTGAACAGACATTTGAAGCTTGGCTGGATTTAATGAAGTGACGTGTCAAAACAATAAATATTAAAAGAACACAAAGTTTGATAGTAGAAGAAAGTTTTTCATTAGAAAATATCAGAAAGCTTTTGTAGAGAAAGGACTCCTCTTGAACTCTATCAAAGTTGGTGTGTGAGGTCTGTGCATGACTGTGAATTTAATTTATGGACTAAAGGGAGAAGATTGGTAGAGGATCTTAGAGATCCCAGCTATTGATCAGAAAGGAAAAAAAAAGAAGGAAGGGAGAGCAGAGAGGAAGCAGAACTGGGAGAAAGAATGATTCTTGCAAAAGTCATCAGATAGAAGGTATGGTTAATGAGTTTCTATGTATGAAACTAAGAGATACTGGTGAGAAACAACTGAGAAATTAATATACAAGAAGTTCTTGAAGTCCAGAAAATAAAATCTGGGAACTGGAACTACTGTGCAGAATGTAAGAACAAATACTGTAGAGAAAACTAAACCACAATCAAATAGCAATCAAGATTTTATCTCTGAGATTGAAATAGTAATGAGAAAAGAGAAATAAATAGCAGACTGCTGAAATCTCATCAGTAGTGGTGATGGCATAGAAAAAAAAATCCTTAAGGTTACTTAAGAAAAACACTCAAGTACTTTACTTACAGAAAAAATATTAACAATATAGGAAGATAAATATTACAAATGACAATGGAAGGTTTTTAGTTCTCAGACATCAATTAGACATGAAAATCAGATATCTAGTTTGATAGCCATGAAATTTGTTTGCAATTGAGAAACACATTCCTAAGCAAAGAAAGGCTTTGCATCTGGTCTTGTTAAAACATAATGCTACCATGAAAGTGGTGGCTGCAGAAGTTAGTCTTGCCTCATGTGGGGTTAAATTAACTAGAAGGATCAAAAAAAGAGCGCACATTAAAGATTATTCCAGAACAGAAATCTGTAGGATACAGGAAGAGCTAATGAGTGAAGGCACAGGTTCTGAGGAGTTGAAAAAATTGAATGAGACTTGGGGGTTGGCCATAAAAAAAAAAAAGTGCTACTCAAATCTTCATACCAAGAAAAAGAGAAAATTTTAAAAAAGTGTCCTAAAATTGTTGAGGTAAATATCCACATAAAAATTGGGAATATGTAAAAACCTAAACACCAGGAAAAAAACCTTTTACAAAATTCAACGTTGTACATACACCTATTCTAAAAGCTGAATCTGTACCTCTGTATAGCTATTCTGCAGTGCCTATCTCTGTATTATAAAAAAAATCTTTTACCCATTCATCCCACAGATGGCAACTATTGGACAGAGTTCACATCCACTTGCAGAGATGATGCTGGGGCACACCTTTGTTCTCAGCTTGCCCCAGCTGTCTTTAACAAAATGTGTTAATGTGTCCTTCTCCACCGGCCAAATGGAAGGAGGGCAACCAGAAGAGGTGTAGAACTCAACCTATCCATGAGCTCAGGTGGGACTAACTGGAACCATCCACATTCCCTTTTATGACCTTTCTCATCTTTGATCTGTTGCTGCCTTCTGGCTTTTCTATGTAATAAGGCTCCTACTGTTTTTAAATATTACAGGTTTCTGCTGCTCTTTCAATGCTGCCCTGAAATTACTGAACAGAGGTACCGCAGTAGCAATTTACACAAAGGTGGAAGTGCAAGTTATAGTCCGCATTTTCTTTCATTTTCACTCATTGTTCAATAATTCATATATACTCAAGATTTCAAATTACTTTCAAGTTCTATGACTAATAGGGTGTGGAGCTTTAATTTACTTACATGAATGTTTCATTATTTCCTTTCTACTGAATTTGGAGAAAGTATCACAAAACCTCAATTCCTTAGGATTGTAACAGGAATCCAGTGATTGAGCTGAAATTTGACTCTAATTTAACATGTAAATTCTGACCACCAACAAAAGGGAAAAGATCACTGTGTGAAGTGAAGTTGTAGTTTCACTTCATCATTACCTTCCATTTACCAGGAGTGCTTCTGATGCATTTGGAGAAGGTCCCAGTGCAAAGAAGAGAAAAATAGGGTGTGTGAAACATCAATTATTAAAGTATAATATTCATTACAATGGATGTAGTCACTAGGAATGGCTAATGGGCTTAGAGAGACATGTTGGTCTTGATTTACAGATGTGAACTGATGTACTGATATTTAGACAGAATAAGTACTGGGTATATAAGGGGTGGCATTAAGAAAGCACCCACCTAGACTCAATAAAAATGAAAAAAAAGAGTTATGTATTAATATTTTATTCTCTGCCCTTAGGGTTGTAAGGTTGAAATCCATCCCTTAGGTTTTCTCCAAAAAAGCCCTTCAATTTCTGTATTGTAGCATCTTAATATTTACATATTTTGCCTCCTATTTCCTGCTCACTCCTGAGACTGCCCTTCCTCTGCTTCCAAAGCTGCCAGGGCTCTTGCTCTCTCAGAAGACCATCTGAAACTCTTTGCTGACTTGTGCCTAGCCACAGCACCATCAGCCCAGCTCTCTACGTGGGCCAGAGCACCTTCTAACTCTTCCTGAAGGGCTGTGGCTGCCAGAATCTGTGTTCTGTATGGCTGCAAAGCTCTACATGCACACTGACAATTTACAGCCATCCTTCACCAGCCAAGGCAAAAGCTCCCTCGTTGCCCTAGCCCTTACCCAGGGACAAAACACCCTGGATGGCAGCAGCCCACACAATGTCTTATCTCGTGGAGCTCTATCAAGACTAGCTACAACAAGTCAGCATGTGAACAGCAGCTCCCCAGAACTGTTGCAATGAAAGGCAAATCTGGAGACCTGGGATATACAGCCCAGTTCCCAGGAAAGATTGCCTAATGAAGGGAGGGGATTGCCAGTGTTGTTTTTTAAGAACAGGTTACACAAAAAAAGCAACAGAACTGGCAGAGCCAGAGATAAATAAGCCTGCCTTTGGGCAGGGGGAGGCATTCAAAGACATGGTACATTCTCCTCTGCTTTCTATAATCTGCCTAGGTACACTGATTTTTGGCATATTTCTTAAGCCTTTTCTTTGTGCCCACACTAATTTGGATGATGAACCAGCAGAGAAGTGCTGGAACAGGAATCAGGATGAGCAGGGCATGTTTTCTCCTTCAGTGCTGCCTCACTCTTTGACCTTGAGCTTCTCACATCCTGCTGTGCTCGCCAAGACCGTGCATCTACAAATAAAGCTCATGGTAATTCATCTGCGTCACAGAGCTAAGATTTTGGATGATAATCAATGTGGAAAGAAACCTTTTTTTTTTTCTTCTTTCATAAAAGATTAATCACATGAAGCAAGAAGAAAATAAATTCGAACTTATGTGAAGAATTACTGTATCAGGATTTGAGGAACAGTCACAGAAATGTATGCTTACACTGCATAAAATCAAACCAGGCTTTGCAATGCTTCTCATATTTTCTAATGGACACACCAGTACATTGTCCCACATGTTTTACGTGTGTTGAAGTAACCTCCAAAACACATCCCTGAAATTGTGGGGAGACTCACGAGAAGTAGTGAACAATCACCATTTCAATTAAGTTCACCTGCAGCTGCAGCTAAAACGTCTGAAAAGCAAGTTTTCTGGATTGAGGTCCTGGCCTCACTCTCCTGCCCTGTGCTGCTGTCTTTCCCAAGTGAACCCTCATTTTTCCCAAGTGATGCCCAAGTGAGCACAAGTGGTTTCAACACCTCCTTAGTCTGAATTCCTGAGTATTCAGAATATGCAGAGAAAGGAACCTTGGTAGTGCAGTAGTATTTTAAAGTGGTTTACTTTTCCCCACATTTATCATTATAAGGACTAAAATTTCTTTGAAAATAGTATAATTCCCCATGCCCATTCTGTCAACCCACTAGCAAGCTCCTACCAAAGTGGAATTAAAAAGTATATTTATACTGTAATGTCATGTTATAAAGTTGGAACTTGGATTGATAATTTTTGCAGAGCCAAATTATTTTGTGTGAACATATACTAGAATCAACATCCTCTCCCACCTTGTACTGTGTCACTGTTCATTTCCCAAAGGAATATTAAGTAGGAATGAAAATCATGACAAGCACTGTGACCACTGTTCATCCCAAAATCCATTATGTAAATAAATTACCTTTTCTGTTGATCAGTAGCTCCAGCACCTGATGTTAGGAAGGCTGAAAGTCAGGGACAGAATTCTCTGTTTTATCAGCTGCATTTCATCGCTCCAACCACATCAGAATTCATGCTACAAGAAGATATAACAGCAAAGGGTGAATGTGGAATAAGAACTGACACAAGCCTTCTGCATTTTCAAATGGTGTGGAGATCTAAAATCCTTAAAATGTTTGTTTTCACCAAGATTTAAACAGTATGAAGCTGTTTGGGTTATATCTTGGGTTTCACTCTGCATAAGGCCTAGATGATTGTAGATCCTACTTCTTTTTATGTCCCCTTTATTCCGGTAAAATTAAATGATCTTTTTGTTTAACAAAATAGACTATCTTCCTTTAAAGTGCACTGTCATTTGTGTGTTTCTAAAATGGCAGATGCCATTTTTGGCCCCAAAATCAGAGTTGATAAGACATTAAACCCTGTGCACAATGTCATTAAAGTCCTGTCAGTAATTGAACTTTTTTTGTTGCACATTAATCTTCAGACATGCTATTTTAATGTGGAAGGACATAGTCTGTGCAAAACCTTGACAATGGGAAATTTACTCATTGTGTCATGAGTCCTCCCAAGGAATAAAGCATACAAATATTATAAAATCCCTACAGTTGCACTGATTTATCTGTTTTTCCTTGGCTAAAGGAAAGAATAACAAGAAAACATGGGCAGTAATGATTATTAAACAATTACTTTCCACCTTATCTTCAGTAAATTTGCAGGTTTAAGAAATAATCTATTTTCATTTCAAATTTCTCAGTACACAATTTCTGAAATGCAAAAGAATCCAGATTTTGTAATTTTCATCTTGTTAAACATTTGGATCAGTGTTCTAGGCTCTGTTTTTGTCTCTAAGTCCTGGTGATTATTCTAGCATAATTACTGGACCTTGGTTTTGTTTTGGTATTTATAACGTGTTTGTTATGTGCAAATGGAAGTCCTCTCTGGGTTTTTTTGCATATCTCTTTCCTTTGGTCCTTTATTCCTACATCAGAAACCTAGAAAAATATCCTTCTGAAATAGGAATAGAGATACAAATTTGATTTAATTCAAGTGTCAAAATTATGCAGTAGAATTATATGCCAGAAGATGTGTGATTTTCAGGTAATTTCTTTTCCCTGGAATGCTTCTGTCTCATTTAAAACATTAATTTAAAGCCTGAGGGGGCGGCCTGTCCTGCACTCAATATACTGGGCTGAAAATGAAATTCTTTACTAACAGGGTGTGACAAACCCTTGCTGCCAGAAACCAATATATTGCTGATGTCTGCATGTTTTGTAGCTTTAATCCAACAGCACATTGCTCTGCAGGCAGATACTCCTATGTAAAGGAGGCAGCTCAGGAGGGAATGTATTCTTATTAAATATACATAGGAACAAAGAAACATCCTGACTGTGTTTTTTCCAAGCACTTGTGCATAGGTATAATACTGTGATGGATGTTGCTATATCCATGCACTAATAGCCAAACAGATTTCCAAATTTACAAGAGCCATTGGAAAACATCCAATTCCCCTCCATTCTCCTGGAACTGTGTAAAAGCAGTTGAGTGATGGCTGATCCTGGGCTAAAGCAAGTTTGCTTATTCTTGTTAATGGCATTCTCAGTAATAGCAGGAGGAGTTCTGTTAAAAAGTATTTGGCCAAATAGACCAGATTTTCAGCCATGTGTAAATCTCTATTAAAATCCTCTTTTAGAGCATCATCAGTACCTAGTAAAAGGTATAGACTTACTTCCCACAACTGAAGGAAACACATAGCTGCTTTGTATCTAAAAATGTGGGGTTTTCAGTGTTCTCTCCTCTTACTGTATTGTCACTCAGCTGAAGAGAGTTTTTTGTGTTTTCTCTGTAAGCAAACTCCCTGGTGAGACTTGAGCCCACTTCTTACACCTTTCATAACAAAGACTTTTCAGTCTATGCACCCGGTTCTTTTCTTTAGCTTTCAAAGAGCAAAGCCTTTTTGATTGTAGTTTTCTGGGAAAGTAGGTAAGAGTCATGGAGTGACCCACAGTGTGAATGTATCTGTGGATAATGACATGAAGGAGAAGAGAGACTTTCTTATCCCAAACCACTCTCCTTGATGCGCTTCTGATGTGCACAGGCCCAGCCTTTGCTCCTGCCCTTCTCTTCAATCATGGTGCATTTTGTGTTCCTGCATCTGGAGGAGCTGTCAGGATGCCCTGATCTGCCCCTGCAGCAGCCACAGGCGGCAGCTGCAGAGGAGGCAGCTTCAGGCATGCATCTGCAATTACTGCAGGCTAGAAAATCCTCCAGGTCATGGTATTGTGGGAAAGATCCCCTGCTGTTGGAGTGTAAATATGGCTCACACATCTCAAAAGATGAGTAAAATAAACCTTCATTGATGGACAGTTTTATTCAGCTTCCTTCATCAAAGACTAAAGATATAGCATGAAAACATAAGGAAGTTCTATCAAAGTAACAAGCTGAAAATAAACTTGCTTTAATGAGATGGATGTAGTTTGATTATGCTCAGTCATCATTTTTTAAACTTGATCTTAATTTCCTTTCATATATCAAGTTCCTACTATATAAAATCACATTTGCTTTCCTGCATTCATCCCTACTGTCAGCTTTCCAGGTTGCTTTGTAATTTACTGTAATCCTCCTGTGGGTGAATCACCCTTCATGCTGGTGTCTTTTGCCAGAAATGTTTTTTGCCTCCTAGTGCACTTTACTGAACTGTGTTCTTCCAGAAAGTGACTAATGACCTCACTAAAACTCAGAAGTAGTTTATGAGCAATAGAGTTTTCTGTGATAGAGAAATAACTTTAATGTCCACAACAGCTTTGGAGGCTCTAGCAGATAGAGTTTAAGAACCAAAATATTTGGGGAAAATCATATAAGACAAATACTGTGTCTCTTCAGTATCACTTGTACTCCCTGGGTATTTCTGGGAATAATGCCAGCCAAAGGTGGCACATACACCTGCCACAGCTGAGAGCAGAGTGCCAAGTGACTCCAGCTGGGACTGGCTCAAGAGCTGTAGCTCTTGTCAAATATCCCTTGAGTAAAAGACCAGCTTGGATCAGTTCAATCACCACTAGAAGATTTTGTGTAGGACTACACTGCTGAAGAAAACTCTGCTTT